TCTTACACCATATTTTAAAAAAGTTATAATTATTCAAAATGTTGTCCCTTTGTGGGGGAGGTACCAGAAGGAGTGGACCGATATTGTCCACTTTCTCACATGATCTAGCGCTGATGCAAATATTAGGATTTGCAAAGTTGGAGCAAAATTGGATTATCCTTTCTCTTTCTGTGCAGTAAAATATTTTCTGTGGAAATCTAGACCTTTTGTGGGGAAGGTACCTGAAGGAGTGGACCGATATTGCCCATTTCCGAACTCGATCTATGTTTGATAATAATATTACGATGTACCAAGTTTGGACTAAATGGGATACACCCTTCGAGAGTTATCGTGCGCACCAGCCAGAGAGACGGAGGGACAGATATCGCTAGATCGACTCCAAATGTCCTGAAACGAATTTGGTCCAAAGACACCTAGGATATAAAATCCTTATTTCGATTAAGCACGTTTTGGCCATTATTTCGATTTCCAAAAATTTTAGATTTATTTTTCATATTCAGCTGAGAAAATCGGGCTAGAAAAAATCAACGGCCCTTGCGAGCCATGCTCCACACCAAATATGGTTGATGAGCCGCTTAAACTACGGCGAATCTCGTTGAATAATGATGAATGTGGCTGGCTTTTCTTTTCACCGCAAATTTCAGATCACTAAGCTCGTCTCGAAAGGTATTTAAAAAAATAACAATTCAAACATATTTTTTGATTCCGCAGGAAAATGTTCAATTAAGCTAAGTTAAGTAAAATTCAGTGGAACAAAAAATCGAAAAAAAGCTTAGGAATAAATGGATATTTTGTTAATTAAATCGCAATTCATTATTTCATAAAACTTAGCTAAGGAAAAATCGAAAAATATGAAATCAAAAATCATATTTTTTAAAATGTCAACCAAAAATTATGTTTCATATCGTGGAGGGGGTTCAATTATTTCAAAATTTCCCAATCAACTTTATTTATTTACAATTCAGACAAGTGAAACTATGTCTGCTGATTCCATATAAGGTCTTTTACATATGAATGCGCAGCAGTGAAACCTTTTGCGGACATCCTGTTTATGTTGGAGAATAAATTTCGTGTTCAGCTTTAAACTACAACATGGAAGTTACCCAAAAAGAACAATGTATGAGGGAAGCAACAATAACCCAAAATTTCTTACTTCAATTAAAGCGATGATGTCAGGCATGGCAAGTGGAATTAAAAAGAATTAACATTTCCCGAAAAAAAATGTCTGAAGAATCAAATATCTTTTCAAACGAGGGGCTTCAGAAACGAAAGAAACCAACCTAATAATAATAACCCACAATAATGATAGTAGGCCGGCATTCAAATTGTCACAGAAAGTTCAGTTCATGGCATGGTAGAAAAGGGCTTCACAATGGGAGAGAACATGACGAGCTGTCAAGAACATGAACATAAGTAGGAAGTTAAATGTGTACCCCCTCCCTCCCTCCATGTAAGTTGGAAAGATGTGGAAAGAACACGCATGGATCAGCACTAGACTACTATCATTTAATAAAAGGCAATTACTGGGCCTTTGCCCCACTCCCTTCCTATTTTTTTTTTTTTTTTTTTTGTATTGTAGGCCAGTGGAAAAAATTCTGGTCGTACCACACACCGATGATGATGATTCTGATGACGACGATGTCACACAAAATAATAATCATAATTTAAATAGTTAAACAATTTATTTATTGCAAAATAGTCCGGAGAGCCAAACGTCGGACCCACACTCAGACATTGCAAACGACTGAGATAGCAACTCACACAGCCAGCAATTCTCGTGAAAATGAGGAAACCGAGGGAACAAAATTATTGTAATCCACAGCAAAATTTTCAAATAAAAATGTAAACAAGCTGAGAGCAATATTCAGATGTAGGTATGTAATGATGTCATATCAGTTTTTTTTTGTACAGAGATTAAACATACTCTCTTGATGGGTTATAAACTGGGTGGAGGAGGTCATAAAAAATGTGTTTGTAGTTTGTATTTTTTCTATATAAATTAAAGACAAGGACAATTTGTTGTCCAGGGGTCAGCTTAGCAAGCAATTAGTAATTTTATTGAGAATGTGAATCATGGTAGGAGGAGAAATTGCTGATGGAAAAATATTGAGATGTGCCAAATGTGAATGGAATCGGATGTTAATTTCGGGTTTTATGAGCTTCATAGATATTTAAAATTTTGACCCTTTGTAGGGGAGGTACCACAAGAAGAGGAGCGATATATCCCATCTTCACACCAGACTTTGGAAAAATAAAAATATTATGATGTGTGTAATGTGAAGAGAACCGGATGTTTATTTCGGATTTTGTGATAGTTTTTGATATTTAATATTTTGACACTTTGTGGGGGAGGTACCAAAAGGAATGATCCAATCTCTACCATCTTTATTACAGATCTCAAGTTGATGTAAATATTGAGATGTGCCAAATGTGAATGAAATCGGATGTTAATTTCGCGTTTTATAAGCTTCATAGATATTCAAAATTTCGACTCTTTGTGGGGGAGGTACCAGGAGGAGTGGACCGATACATCCCATCTTCACACCAGACCTTGGATTAATAAAAATATTGTGATGTGTGTAATAATTATACAAAATGTTGGCCCTTTGAGGGGGAGATACTTGATGGAGTCGGCCGATATTTTCCATTTTCCCACCTGACCTAGCACTGATGCAAATATTAGTATTCGCAAAGTTGGAGCAAAATCGGATTGTCCTTTCTCTTGCTGTGCAGTAAAATATTTCTTTGAAAATTTCGACCTTTTGTGGGGGAGGTACCAAAAGAAATGGACCGATACATCCCATCTTCACACCACACCTTGGTTTCATATAAATATGTGATGTGAATAAATTGAAGGCAGTCGGACGCTTACATCGTATTTTATAAGAGCTATAATTATTCAAAATTTTGACCCTTTGTGGGGGAGGTACTTGACGGAGTCGGCCGATATTGTCCATTTTCGCATCTGATCTAGTACTGAAGAAAATATTAGGATTTGCAAAGTTAGAGCAAAATCGGATTATCCTTTCTCTCTCTGTGCAGTAAATTATTTTCTTTGAAAATTTCGACATTTTGTGGGGGAGGTACCAGAAAGGGTGGATCGATATATTCCATCTTCACATCAGACCTTCGTTTAATACAAATATTGTGATGTGTGTAATTTCAAGACAATCGGACCCTTAAATCATATTTTATAAAAGTTATAATTATTCAAAAATTTGTCCCTTTGTGGGGGAGGTACTTGATGGATTGGACCGATATTGTCCATTTTCTCACATGACTCAGCCCTGATGCAAATATTTGGATTTGCAAAGTTGGAGCAAAATCGGATTATCCTTTCTCTTTCTGTGCAGTAAATTATTTTCTTTGAAAATGTTGAGATTTTGTGTCAGAGGTACCAGAAGGAGTGAACCGATATTACCCATCTCCGAACTCGATCTAAGTTTGACAATAATATTAGGATGTACCAAGTTTGGATCAAATCCGATTTGAGTTTCCGATCAAATCCCTTCGAGAGTTATCGTGCGCACCAGCCAGCCAGACAGAGAGACGGACGAACGGATTTCTCTAGATCGACTCCAAATGTCCTGAAATGGATTTGGTCCAAAGAGACCCAGGGTCTAAAACCATTATATCGATGAGACCGCATCAAATGATATATACCCTCTCTAGCCATATGGCTGAGGGTATAGTTACACAACATTTTTGAGAAAAATGTTGCTGATTTGTTAAAAAATAGCTGAATATAAATGTTTTACTCAAACTTATTTTGTTCAGTTCAATGCAGTTTCAAATTATAAATTTTGAAAAATTTCAGTTTTCTAAACCTTCCCGAGTTGATGGAAAAAATTGATGTGTACTCAGATTTGTTTTCAAAATCTATAGTTTGGCCTTTTTCAAAAAATAGGGTCTCGATAATATTTAACAAAATTTCCAGCTAAATTAAAAACTTTTAGCATGAATTCATTCCGGTCAATTAATTCTCTAAATACTTGAAGGGTAATAAGGATTTTTCACAGAAGGAAAGCAAGAAAAGAGGCTGTTTTTCCTTTATCCAATTTTCCGGGGAGAGAAATAATCAAGTTCCTCCAAATTGTCTTAACCCCAGCTGAATACCTTGTCCTGCGAAAAAAATTATTTAAAACCAAAAAAGATCCTGGCTAAGCTGTTGCCCTTAGCCCAAATTCATTCGGGACCAACGTCCATAATCAGCAATTAGTTTTCTGAACATTTGATTAGTAAAAAGCATTTACAGAAAGTACGAAGGCAGAACTCGGTTTCCTTTCCTTTAAATCAAAAATCGATATAAATCACTTCATCACAAATAAGACATTGCTGCATTGTCCAAACCCCAGCTGAATAGCTTTGACCACCTCCAATGCCCCACAGTGATTTCATTATCCCTAAGAAAAACTTATTTTGAACCAAAAAGCCATAAAAATACAAACTGTGTTGCTCTTGCTGTTAGCCCCAAGTTATTCAGGACAATCATCCCATAATTATCCATTAATTTTCAAAACACTTAATTGGTAATGAGAAGTTTTCAGAAAACACAAAAACAGGGCAGGGTTTTCCTTTACCCAATTTGCCGGGGAGGAGAGAGAGAGAGTCATAATTGACCCCCCCAACACATACAAATAAATATTGGATTATCTTCTCTTGGATAGTTTACGTTTCCACAGGACATTATGTGAAAATCCTGCAATGAAACGCATGCGCCAAAAATAAATATGGCTCTCATTTGGAATTGTTATCCTTTAAAAAATCTACGGAGCCGAGGGGAGGACTGACTCTCTATAAAAGGGAAATAAAGTCAAGTGCGTTAAATAATACCCGAACAATGAGGTTGGTGGGGATGGTGATGATGGCAAACCCAAACAGGTCTAGTTTCAACACCAGCCAACAACCAAGTGGAGATAAATTTACCTATGTGTTATAAAACAATTACAACAAATTACCCTTACAACAAATTAATTTATTATAATTTTTATTTTACTTACTGGCATTCATTCATGATCTCATCCTGACTGCGTACTTGTACGGGCGCCAGCGCCTCCACATTTTCCTCGAAATTGCCAAAACATTTGGTGATTTTCTCATCGAATGTATTGACCAAATCTTCGAGGCTACCGCCGAATGCCTCACTGAAATTGTCGGTGGCATCCACCAGACTCTTCGAATCCATGGCCGCATCCAATGCTGTGGTCATTTCATTGCTTAGCATGGTATTGCAATTGGGACTAATTGTACCATTGCCAACGGCGGCCGTTGGATAGCCTCCACCATTTTTGCTGACATGTGCATCCCTAACGGCCTCCTCCAACAAACGGATTTTATTCTCCTGGGCAATCATTGGATCCTTGAGATTCAAATTCAATGAGTCATTGATGGTGTTCTGATTGGAAATGAAATCGCAACCGGCCCAATCATCGGTTTCATCCATTTTTGCCAGAGGAGCCTCGAATTTAAGCTCGGCCATTTTTGAACCGAGTTCACGCATGGCCCACTGTATTCACCAGGAAATAAACAAAATGTGGTCGGATGGGGGAGCAAACTCTGTCACAAAAATTTCGACGATGATATCAGACTCTGGGTATCCACTGGCTGGCTGACTCAATTATTCCACTTTATGTTATGGACTGACAGACAGGCAGGCAGGCAGGCTAGTTTGAGACTGACACACAAAAAAACAACACCAACAAACTAAACACCACACAATTTTTTTTTTTGTTTTCACAAAAACAACCCCCTTTTGCTTGAATTTACCACTGCCAATGCTGCTTCTTCTTTTGATTTTATTTTTTTTTTTTCAAATTTAGAGGGTGTTTTTCGTTTTGTGTATATTTTGTTTGAATTTTTGCACTTGTTTTATTATTGCTGTTATTGTTGTTGCTTTTTTCAATTTGATAACAACACCTTTAAACTGATTTCCATACACTTGAATTCCACTGATAATTCATTTGAATTTGTTTATTTTTGTTTTTTTCCTCTATGATTTTGCTTCATTTGTTGTTATTTCATCGAATTTTTTCAATTATTTTGTGTGGGGGAGTAAGAGAGGTAGGTGGTTCTTCTCTTTGGCCTTTTTGAACAAAAACAAACAAATCAAACTTTGCAACAGCAATTTTTACATTAAGCAAGCAAACACGCACGCACACACTTCGTTTGTTTGTTAATATTAAATCGTACGAAATGATTTTTATTTATGTATATATTTATTGGTTTTTACATATATTTAAAATTATTTATATTTTTTTGTTTTGCTTTTCACACGCGCTAACCGTTGTTTCTTCCACCATGAGAAATTTGAGAATGAGCATTTTGTCTTTGTGAGCATTTTTGAATATCTTTTTTTTTGGGGGGATTGAAAGAGAGAGAGAGAGAGAATTGGCGAACGAGGGATATGTAAATCGACTTGCGGCTATGGTGAAAATCGCAAAGTCGATTATTTGTTATCGATTTTGTTGTCATTGTGTTGCTTTACATTGAGGGGATTTATTTCAAGGGTTCTCTTGCGTCTTTTGTGTTCATTTAAATGGAGAAACAATAGAGGAGAAAAGTAAACATTTACGAAAATGTCTTAGACAATGGACAACGTACAATAAGTTGTACTTAAATATTTTACAATTATTTTTTCTGATTTACAATTTGTTGATTGCCTAAGTCTGGGATATTTCCACATTGGCTGTAATTAATATTACTCTATATTACAGAGATTAATGTTATTTTTTGTTTTTTTTTTATGCAAATGTACAGGTTAGGTAGAATCATGGTAGAAGAATATAGGTAGTCGCATCGAAACAGCTCCTGGGACAATAAACTGTCAAACCAATTTCAAAAATGAAAATTTTGAATGAAAAATTATTCAAATTTGTAAAAAATTTTGAAAAATTCATATTATAAAAATCTCCGATTAACGTTGTATAAAAAAACATATAAAAAAATATATAAAAAACAATGTTCCAAAGCGTTGATGCATCTACCTGCATTCTTCTACCATGAGCAGAATCAAGGGAATCCAGCAAATATTTGGTCTGTTCTAGAACTGAAAGAATGTAAAAATTTTTACAACGATAACTGATTTTCCCTTTACGATATCGAAAAAAAAATGCAAAATTAGTAGATTCTTAAAGGTTCTGGAACAGAACAATTGAATGTACGGAGAAGGTGGCATCAAGTAGTTGAAATTTGCTCTGTTTGAAAACCTTCAAGAATCGGTTATTGTGCTAAAAATTTTTACATTTTTGCAGTTCTGGAACAGACCAATTATAGATACAAGGTATAAAAATGAAAATTTGATCTTCGAAAACAATTCAAGTTTTTGGGTATTTTTGTTAAAACTATCCCAAAGCTGTCTGAGAGGAGAGAATTACCACAATCTTTCAAGGGCCAATGAATTTCAGAAAAAATTTATCAAATATCCTGTCCATAAAAGAAAAAATTGTCTGGCTTTTCAGTCATTTGAAATATTAAAGGCTTAAACAGATCAAAGCTTAAATCGTGACTTTGACGTGAAATATAACACCGTTTCCATATATAGCTGACAACAGTGTTGTATTTTTCACATCTAGTTCAGCTGAAAATGGCAACTATGTTGTATATTCATGCCGAAGTAGCGATTTAAGTTTTGATCGGTTTCACCCTAAAGTATTTTGGCAAAATTAAAAATTGTAACATCATCGTTCTAGTTCCACCATAAATCAACAACATCTCATTGTCAAAATTTTTATTTATAAATCCATTTTATACACAGAAATCAGAGATGGGAACCTGTTTTTTATTCAGTGAAATTTTACAAGGAAAATTTCAGAATATTCCGAGATGGATAGTCGTATTTGAAAATGACTTTACCTTTTTAATTTTACCATGAATTCAACATTTCGGACAAAAGAAAAGTTTGCTACCAGCTCAAACAAATCTTTAGTATTCCACTTTTGACTTGATCCGTTTTTTTTTTCTTTCTTTAAAAATATTCTCAAAAAATCTATTTTTTGTATTTTTTCACAATTTAAATAAAATACGTCATTCAATTGTTCATAGACACCAATATTATTTTCTTCTAAACAAATGTTTACAATTCCCCTCATTTCTTTCTTTAAAAGTATGAAAATATCTTAAATTGTAAATTTCTGTCATTCGCCATACGTTGTATTTAAAGGATGACCTTAAACAATTTAATTCTCTTTTGTCACTCTCTGTCTTTTATAACGGTCAGCTGTGTTTGAAAGATACATGTAAACAGTGCACGACGTGGCCTACGTAACGTAAACGTACGGATGATGTTGATCAAGCCGCATTCACAAAGGTAGACAAAAAATGGATTAAATAATGGAAATAAATATGAAAAACATATGCAAACCGATTTCATTGGTATCAGAACACGTTTTCGAGGAAAATACTCATAAATAATAATAATAATAATAGTAAATATAATAATAATAATAATAATAATAATAATAATAATAATAATAATAATAATAATAATAATAATAATAATAATAATAATAACAATAATAATAATAATAATAATAATAATAATAATAATAATAATAATAATAATAATAATAATAATAATAATAATAATAATAATAATAATAATAATAATAATAATAGTAATAATAATAATAATAATAAAAATATAAAAAATAATAATAATACTAATACTAATAATAATGATAATAATAATAATAATAACATGTTGCGTGGTGGGCACTATTTAATTTTTAATTGATGTTTTTTTTAGCTAACATCCGCGACGTGCAAACCGCAGCAACCCGTGTTTAAAAAATGAAGCGGAAATGTTCTGTCCCAATGGTAATTAGAATTGCCACCACTGCCAGTGTTGTATTTGGATCGATTATTTGGCAGATAAATTAATCGAAAATACAACCTGCGATATTGTAAGGGCTCGTTAGGTCGGTATCATAAAGAAGGTAAATGTCAGGAGAAATTAAGGAAAAGCCGAAAAGCGGAAAAATGCCGCGTCATTCCCGTAGGTATAAAAGGGGGAAAAAGGAAAACGCGCCCTTATGATTCAAGTGGTGCGACAGTAAAATAGTGGTCATAAAAGTAAAAAAAATTAAAACCTGCCAAATTTCAAAATAAAAGTTACTTTTTTTAAGGCAATAAAAGCCTCGATATTTATTTTATTATTTATGGTGAAGGCGTTAGTAATTGATTGTAAGTGATCCTTGTATGAATTATAATTGTGTAGATATATGAGTGTTTTTGTGTTGTGTGCTTTTATGTCTTTCAGTGTTTCGCCAAAATAATTTAAATTTCTCGAGGGTATCAACTGGCCTCCTCGGCGAACAAAAGCGGAGAGGTCAGCCCATCTTTGACGGCCACAGCAACCACCACAACGCAAAATTGAGGCCCCAGCGACCGCCTCCATAACACCAATTCCCTTGATCCATGATATCCGGGTTCTGCTTTATCCTGGTGGACGAGGTCGCGGAAGAGTGATCCTGGAAAAGAACAAAGCAGGTTGTACTAAAGAATGCAAAAAGCCAGGTAACAAAGTTATTTATTAAACTTACCGCTTGTTTGATACAACCACTGGCATAAAATAAAAACCAGAACCAGGAGGGAAATCCTGCAACAGAAAAAGGGAGAAATTCCATTAAGAAAATTTATTAAAAAAAAAAAGCAAAAGGCAGAAAAATTCATATAAATTAAGAGAAAGAACTAATCAAATATTCAAATTTTTAATTAAGATAAGATATTTAGGTTAAGTGTGTTGTCTAAGCATATTATTATTGTTTTTTTTTGTGTCCAGCATAAATGTTCTTGTTTTTGTGAGGGACATTAACTATTCTAAATTTTATGAGTAAATTGGAGTGTAGGGTTACCCCAAATTACTTTGAGTGTTATAATTAAGATTTTTTTGAGTTTCCGTTGAATATTGTGGACCAGTTTGCGGGTCCCTCACCACCTAAGAGAGCTCGTTTAGGCAGGTACTAATTGCATAACTTAGAAAGTCCAAAATTTGGTGACATTTAGTTGACTGAAGTAATGAAGGGTGGTCTGATATATATGAACTCCTCAAACAATGACTAAGAGATCCTGATAGTTAATGTTTCAAATTTCAGCTTGTTTGTTCTATTTTAAGGAAATCTTATATATTAATAAATTGTTCGTAATATGATTGTTTGTGTAATCATGATTGTCTAGTTCATTCATGAGAGAGTGAATTTGGTGTACATTGTACTGAGGTGAGTGGGTGTGGAATACGGGGCCCTGATAAAATTGACAGTTATGTAGGATCTCAGGGTCAAGGTTGGGCGGGCTAGTGTGGGAGTGGCAATATCAAACTCCTTTGTTCCAGGTGTACGTAGTGTTTGTGTTATGTAGAATTTGTATTTATCCATTAATTGTTTAATTGTTCGTCCCCAAGGCTATTGGTGTATGGGATGGAACCAACCCCTGAACATGGCTCCTGAGCTAGCGGCCACAACACCATAGTGCCGAAGCAGGTGGCACGTAACAATATGGCGCCCAATCGAAAGCTATAATGTCTTAAATTCAGTGCAATAACAGCTTAGCACAGTGCAATAAACTATAGGGTTCAAATAGGCATAAGCGAAAATCACATTTTCTTACAACGATTATCTCATGTTGCAGACGCAGCTTTAATTCTTTAAAATTTGTGATAAACGTGCAATAGTAGATGAGGTTTTTTAGAAAATTAGGATTTTCGTTCCAACTACAAGGGTCAGGTGCAATAATCTTGTTAGTTCAATGTAACAATGAATGTATTGTGTTTTATGACCTGTTTTTTTTAGTGTTTCTGTATGTTTTATTTTAAAGTAGAAAAAATAGACGTAGGGTATAACATAAGGGAAACGTGCAAAGCTTGAGGTGAAGCATCTCAATGTGCATTGTACGGAAGTACTTGTTCACGAGATCTTTTTCGTTATTTTCTTTCGAAAATTGCCGTGGTGTTACCCTCAAATTTATGTTTTTATGTAATTTTTGGTATTTATTGTTTCGAAGTCGTCAATTCGAGATGGCATAAGAGAGGAAAAGTACAATAGCGTTCGTGAAGAAGTTTTCGCAAACTGTATTGTATGAAAGAAAATTTAACCTCCTTCACGAGATCCGTATTCTCTTATGATGGGAAAACTGCCGTGGTGGTCATCTCTAAATGTTTGTCTTTGAAACAAAACAAATAAATGAATATGTAAAGTCCAGTCTAGCAGTACACCAGAACAACCGTAAAAGGACACTTATAATGCGTGATAGGATTTCTTATAACATAATGAAATAAGTCCACACACTCAACCTCAAAAGCAATTGAAAAAAAAAAAAAAACACCAAACGAACTCTCATCGTCATTGTTTAAATCACTATTAACTATTGATATTGTCTTGTGTTTGAATGTTTTTGTTTATGGTTTTTGTCCTTAACTTATTTTGATTATTATTTTAGTTTTATGTACTATTTTCTTATTTTTATTTGATTTAATTATTTATTTTTTTTATTTGTTCTGCTTATTAGTGTGTTTTAATTATATGTTTAGTACACTTATATGTTTAATTATATTCTATGTTATTAATTACTATTGTTCAATTTTTTTTGGTATTTATATATTTTGTTTTTAAAAAACTTTTCTAAATTAGTTATTTTTAAATCATTAAGTTATACACCCCTTCTTTTATTATCTGAAATTGTGGCAATCTAAATTTCGGCACAACAAAAAAAGTAAACCCACAGCTATTAATATATAATTGATTTTTAATAAAATTAATTGGGTAAACGAGTTGAAGTCTGATGAGTGATTATACGGCGGGAAAAAGAAGAAGTAAACGCAATGGAACACTAGCTTTCGACACGAGCAGGATTTCTATACAATCACCCAAACCTAATAACAAAAAGAAAAAAGTAGTCTCAAACATGGAGCAATCCAATGGTATTAGGGATACAACAATAAGGGATTTGTCCGGATCCATTAACAACACTCAACCGAGTACCAGTAAGAGTGCTAGGGTACCATCGAATTTACCTCCAACGCCTACTCCAAGTAATCAGCAAGGCGATGTAAACAATGTAATTAGGAGTATGGTACGCGAAAGTATGAATGACGCCCGAGGGTATTTGAGATCGTGGGTGGAAGAAAGTGTTGCCAAAGAAATGGATAAAATTCACTCGGTGATAAACCGATTGAGCGATAATGTCAGCAGGTTATCGATAAATGTCCAAAATCAGCCAACAATACCAACTACCTTACCGAACCCCCCGGGAAACCCTACAGATGAGTTCCCTACACAACATAGAGATAATGTTAATAATGGTAATCGCAGAAGCACTGTGATTCCATCCGTGATTAGTACAGGCATTCATGGAATAAAAGTTGAACGTTTTGGATTAAATTTTTCAGGGAAACCAAACAGTCTGTCGGTGGAAGATTTTATCTACCGGCTGGAATACTTTCAACAACATTACAAACTAGCTTGGGAAGACATTTTAAATGAATTCCATATTTTGGTGTCTGGTCCAGCCTATGAATGGTTCTGGCTCCAACAGAGGTCAAACAACATTAACGATTGGGACTCCTTAAAGCATGGGTTAAATGAAAGATTCAAGACAAGGCGGACAACATTTGAATCGATGCGGGATCTGTTAGAAAGGAAACAGGGGGCAACCGAGTCCATTGATGCTTTCTTTCATGAAATAAATCTAATGAGATCGAAACTGGAAAGGCCAGTCTCAGAATACGAGATTATTTCTTTGGTTAAGAAAAATTTGAGAAAGAATCTATCGAGTATTGTGTACTCGATGCCCGTGTCGTCATTAGAGCAGCTAAGAGTGGAGTGTTTGGAAATTGAGAGGACATTTTTTCGACGCGACCAATTATCTCAAGCTCCTCCACCAAACATAAACAGACCCATACGTGTACACGCCATGCAAGAAGAAGAAATAGGATATCCGAATTTGGTAGAACCGGAAGAGTTAGTAGATGTTTCGGCCCTAAACCAAATTGTTTGTTGGAATTGCCAAATAGCGGGTCATGGATTTAGGGATTGTCCGTCGTCCCAAAGAGGACTATTTTGTTTTAAGTGTGGAAGGCAAAATACCATAACACCCAAATGTGGAAATTGCAAAGCGGGAAACGTGAGAAAGAACGTGGTTCTAGCGGGGAACCATCGTTCTTCCGAACAACCCGCTGCGGCGAACCCACCGTAGAATTAGTAGATACCAACGTAAATAACTATTCCCAAATTCGGCATTATCTTCCAATTGAGTTCAGGCAGAGACATTATAAAAACAAAAGAGCAGAAATTTTTCAGGAAGATGAATCTCGCAATAATTCCGAATCAATATCCATAGGGGTAAATAAAAATATGAAAAGTAGAATGAGGATAATGAAATTGAGGCAACGACATAAAGAAAATAAAGAATTAAAAAAATTGATATCCGAAGCCGTCATCCGGTGCAAATATAGAACGGATCCTAGACCATACGCTAGCATTAAAATCGAAGGGAAAGAGATAAAGGGTCTATTAGATTCTGGGGCTACGGTTTCAATACTAGGGAAGCATTGCCGAGAAATAGTTGAGGAATTAAACATTATTGTTGATCCACAGGACACGAATGTAAGTACGGCGTCAGGGAAAACTCATCGCATAGTGGGCAAAATAGAGGTAGAGGTAGAATATCAACAACAATTCTTAAAAATGCGTTTCTATCTATGCCCAGATCTAGAACAAGATCTTTATCTAGGAGCAGATTTCTGGAAATTATTTAATATTGCCCCAGAAATATTTCCCATAGACGAGATAACCGTGGACTTACAAGAGCAGATGCGTGGAACCTCGACCAACGAAAATAAGAATATGCACCAACTAACAGGGGAACAACGTAGACGCCTAGAAGAAATAATAAATAAGTTCCCAACGTTTGAAAAAAATGGACTGGGTTGTACGAAATTAGAGAAACATGCAATTAAGTTAGTAGGGAATGCGAATCCTGTCAAGGATAGACATTATCCTTTATCGCCGGCCGTACAGGAAATCGTATATAATGAAATAGATAAAATGCTCGCTCTGAAAGTTATTGAGGAGAGTGATTCGCCATGGAGTAATCGTACTACCGTCGTGCGAAAACCGAACAAGAATCGTTTCTGCCTCGATGCGAGGAAACTAAATGCCCTAACGGTGAAGGATGCATATCCATTACAGAATATCGATGGAATATTAAGCCGAATTGATCAAACCCATTTTATCAGTAGTGTCGACCTGAAGTATGCCTTCTGGCAGATTGAGTTGGAAGAAGAAGCGAAGCCATATACCGCCTTTACAGTACCAGGTCGACCACTATATCAATTCAGGGTCATGCCGTTTGGGCTTTGCAATGCGGCGCAAAGATTATGCAGGTTGATGGATAAGGTCATCCCAGGACGACTAAAATCCAATGTTTTCATATATCTGGATGATCTCCTGATTATAGCTGATGATTTTGAGAACCATGTCAGAATTTTGGAAGAAGTAGCTGAATGCCTGCAAAGAGCGAATCTAACGATTGGACTCAAAAAGTCGTTATTCTGTTTTCGAGAGTTGAAATACCTTGGATTCATAATTGGTAGCGGGATGTTGAAGACTGATCCAGAAAAGGTGAGCGCTATCCAGAGGATACCGCCACCAAAATCGCCGAGGGAAGTGCGAAGTTTTCTCGGTACTGCCGGTTGGTACCGGAGATTTATAAAAGATTTTGCATCCATATCTTCCGCCCTAACAGATACTTTAAAAAAAGGAAAAAAATTCGTAATGACTCCGGAAGCGATGCAATCTTTCCAATCTCTAAAATATGCTCTCACATCCGCACCGGTTCTCAGGCACCCTGACTTTAATAGAGAGTTCTTTATTCAATGCGACGCCTCGGAATATGGAATAGGAGCAGTACTTTTCCAAAAGAATGAATTTGGCGGAGAGAACCCTATCGCTTTTTATTCCCAAAAACTGAATTCCGCCCAGAAGAATTACTCCGTCACAGAAAAGGAATGTTTGGCCGCAGTTTTAGCGGTAAAAAGGTTCCGTCCGTACGTCGAGCTTATGAAGTTCACAATCATCACGGATCATGCCAGTCTTAAGTGGCTGATGTCCTTAAAAGATTTAAGTGGAAGACTGGCGAGATGGTCACTTCAACTTCAGGCGTACGATTTTTCAATTGAACATCGGAAAGGATCGGAAAATGTTGTAGCGGACACACTGTCTCGAATGTCGGTTGAGTCTGATGTCATTGTAGAGGAATTGTGTGACGATAATATATTGGATTTCGAAACTACGGCATTTGAAAGTGAAGAATATGTCGAGTTGCGCAACACCATACAACAAAACCAAGATCGTTTGCCGGATTTAAAAATCGACAATGATAAAATCTATGTTCGAACCAAAAATTTTGAGCAAGAAATGATGGAATTTGAGTGGAAACTGTGGATACCTCAGGACATAACATATGTTCTGATTGAGAAAGCACACATTTACGGTAGCTCGGTCCACGATGGTATAACGAAAACCTTAAAACGATTAAAAACTTATTTTTATTGGCCAAAAATGTCATCGCAGGTACGACAATTCATACAAAATTGTACAACGTGTAAAGAAACGAAATCGGCAAATCAGCGTATGAACCCTACGATAGGCAACGAAGTTATAACTGAGAGACCTTTCCAGAAGTTGTATATAGATTTTCTGGGAAAGTATCCCAGATCAAAACAAGGCAATTCCTACATCTTTATAGTAGTCGATCATTTTACGAAATTCACATTCCTACACGCGATGAGAGAAGCCACTGCATATAACGTGGTAAAATTTCTGGAAAATCAAGTCTTCCATACATTCGGGGTACCCGAGATCATACACAGCGACAACGGAAAACAGTTCGCCTCAAAAGTTTTCGCGGATATGATAAAAGATTACAAAATCACCCACATCACCACAGCCTATTACTCTCCGCAATCTAACGCATCAGAGCGAGTAAATCAGTCAGTATTAGCCGCCATACGAACGTATGTTGAAAACGATCACCGGGATTGGGATCTTTATTTAGCGGAAATCGAACAAGCATTGAGAACCTCAGTACATTCAGCAACTGGAACCAATCCTTTTTTCGCATTATTTGGTTATAACATGTTCACTAGTGGAACCGATTACAAACTGGCAAAAAAACTCCAATCCCTGACTGATCACCAAATTGATCAAATAAATCGATCAGATAAATTAGAATTAATGCGAGAGAGAATAAAAGAAAACACACACCAAGCTTATATATCTAGTGCGAAAAGGTACAACCAACGAGCACGTATTGTCAAGTTTCTACCGGGACAGGAAGTGTATAGGAGAAATCATACCCTTTCAGACTTCAAAAATAATATCAATGCGAAGTTCTGCAAGAAATTCCTGAAATGTAGGGTAGTAAAACCAGTGGGCAATAATATGTATGAGCTAGAAACGCTCCAAGGAAAACCACTTGGTAATTTCCACGCAAAGGATATAAAAATATAAACAAAAGTATAACAAGCTGTGATAAGATAATTTATGTGCAATACTAGATTAAGCAGAGTTAATCTATGATGCAATAATTTTGTTTATACACGATGTTCTTTTGTTTATATATGTATTCAATAATGTGAGCAAATGTACTGTAAGCTGTAAAAAAAAAATACTTTAGTGCAATATTAGATTATCTGTGTTGCGTTGAGTTTTTATATACGTGCTTATTGTGTCATTTGTGAATGTTTTGCGTAAACATTGAAGCGGAATGAATTTAGTGGAAAATATATATAAGGCAATCCTGGTTTTAGGAAATTATGTCGAAATTATGAAATGTAGTTATCTAGGAATATTAAAATATTTGTTATAATTCACTATTGTAATCCAATTATAGACGATTTAGATTAGCCCGGCTTTTGAGACATAAAATCAGGGCGTGGGAGTTCCCCACGTTGGGACTAAGACATGTCTATTCTAAATGAAACAGGGATTCAATCTACAGGGTTTCAATCATCATCATTTTACCCTCATATTTTTTCTACCATTTTTTATCATCAATTGGGAAGGATTCCATAACCGGCGCTAATAGATCAGCAAATACAAAAAAAAATGTAATATAATAGACCTCTAAATCAAAGCGTAGACAATTAGATTTGAATGTCCAATGTAACCCACAAACAATTTTTTTAATTTTCTCCATCATGTGAAGAAATGGTTGTCCGCAAATATTCAATTATTTTCCGTAATTATTCAAATTATTCATTATTATTCCGTAGAATTTTTTTTTAATTAGATGCAACACTTTTCTTTTACCTACACATTGCACCCTGGGGGATAGCAATCGAAAAAGTATTTACTTTCAATATGAGATGAATTATCACAAAATTTATATTATTTTTTCATCGGCAATTGTTTTGTGATTACGCAGGTAAAATATATGGGGACATGTGATTCATATTCGCTCTACCCCAGGTAGTTCATGTCAATACTAATTTTTTCAGAGAAATAATATATTCCAGAAGTCTCTTTGGAAACGTGAAGATTCTTCTTGCACAAATTCAGAATCCTATTATTATACAAAGTCTAGAAATTGCACGACATAAAAAAATTTTAAGTGTGTGAGGTACAATATTTCTTTAATATTGTGTTGATAACGATTTTTTTCGGAAAATACAAAACAATTTAAATTTTCACTGAGATGGTACACACAATAAACTCATAAAAAAAAGTATGACATACCTGAGATGCTAAATATTTCCTCCAAATTACTGTAGACATCAACGTCAAGTTATGTTGTTCAGCCTGTATAATTTCAGCCTCCTTTCACTAGTGTCGAAGAATATTGGTTAAATTCACTTTATTTATACACAAAATTTCACGAATTTGTCTGTTTATAAAGTACCAAGCATGGCCTGAAAAAATAATAATATAATTAATATTGAAATATAAGTGAATAAAGGGTAAGAGCTATTATCAGTTTAAGGAACGTAATATACCTGCGCGTGCATGTGGCTGAACAAAAGCAGAGCGAAACGATCTGCTTGTCGATCGATGTAAACGGAATGGCAACAGCGGCAGCGCTGCCATCCACGCCATGCAGCAAGTTAACACCATACCGACTCTTCATACACGTTTTCTTTTTGTTCTGTTTGCTTTTCAATGTCATTTAAATGACGCCTCAATGAAATGTGTTCTCATGTGTGTGTGCAAACCGCCACCATAAAACCGCATTCCGCTGAACTACCGTTGGTTTGGTTTTTGCGATGAACGAACACAAACACACACACACACATGCAAAAAAACCATGTATTCGCCAAGCATTCATTGACAAATTCAAGCGAGAGTACCTAAAAAAATAGGAAAACATGAAATTAACTATGAGCCTACAATCAAATAAGAATGCTTACCTTCAGGAAAATGCGGTACAATGTCCGAGGGCGAAGGATCGACAGATTTTTTTTTTTTTGCAGAAATGGGATTTCTGAATACTTGGATATGGGTCTTGCTATCACACTGAAATCACTATCACTTTAGGTAATTCTAACGAACGAAACGATGGCGAAACCAAACGCACATCACCGTTTCTTTTGCAGATGCCTAGAAACGGTGAAGTTTTGTTGCGTGGTGGGCACTATTTAATTTTTAATTGATGTTTTTTTTAGCTAACATCCGCGACGTGCAAACCGCAGCAACCCGTGTTTAAAAAATGAAGCGGAAATGTTCTGTCCCAATGGTAATTAGAATTGCCACCACTGCCAGTGTTGTATTTGGATCGATTATTTGGCAGATAAATTAATCGAAAATACAACCTGCGATATTGTAAGGGCTCGTTAGGTCGGTATCATAAAGAAGGTAAATGTCAGGAGAAATTAAGGAAAAGCCGAAAAGCGGAAAAATGCCGCGTCATTCCCGTAGGTATAAAAGGGGGAAAAAGGAAAACGCGCCCTTATGATTCAAGTGGTGCGACAGTAAAATAGTGGTCATAAAAGTAAAAAAAATTAAAACCTGCCAAATTTCAAAATAAAAGTTACTTTTTTTAAGGCAATAAAAGCCTCGATATTTATTTTATTATTTATGGTGAAGGCGTTAGTAATTGATTGTAAGTGATCCTTGTATGAATTATAATTGTGTAGATATATGAGTGTTTTTGTGTTGTGTGCTTTTATGTCTTTCAGTGTTTCGCCAAAATAATTTAAATTTCTCGAGGGTATCAACTGGCCTCCTCGGCGAACAAAAGCGGAGAGGTCAGCCCATCTTTGACGGCCACAGCAACCACCACAACGCAAAATTGAGGCCCCAGCGACCGCCTCCATAACACCAATTCCCTTGATCCATGATATCCGGGTTCTGCTTTATCCTGGTGGACGAGGTCGCGGAAGAGTGATCCTGGAAAAGAACAAAGCAGGTTGTACTAAAGAATGCAAAAAGCCAGGTAACAAAGTTATTTATTAAACTTACCGCTTGTTTGATACAACCACTGGCATAAAATAAAAACCAGAACCAGGAGGGAAATCCTGCAACAGAAAAAGGGAGAAATTCCATTAAGAAAATTTATTAAAAAAAAAAGCAAAAGGCAGAAAAATTCATATAAATTAAGAGAAAGAACTAATCAAATATTCAAATTTTTAATTAAGATAAGATATTTAGGTTAAGTGTGTTGTCTAAGCATATTATTATTGTTTTTTTTTGTGTCCAGCATAAATGTTCTTGTTTTTGTGAGGGACATTAACTATTCTAAATTTTATGAGTAAATTGGAGTGTAGGGTTACCCCAAATTACTTTGAGTGTTATAATTAAGATTTTTTTGAGTTTCCGTTGAATATTGTGGACCAGTTTGCGGGTCCCTCACCACCTAAGAGAGCTCGTTTAGGCAGGTACTAATTGCATAACTTAGAAAGTCCAAAATTTGGTGACATTTAGTTGACTGAAGTAATGAAGGGTGGTCTGATATATATGAACTCCTCAAACAATGACTAAGAGATCCTGATAGTTAATGTTTCAAATTTCAGCTTGTTTGTTCTATTTTAAGGAAATCTTATATATTAATAAATTGTTCGTAATATGATTGTTTGTGTAATCATGATTGTCTAGTTCATTCATGAGAGAGTGAATTTGGTGTACATTGTACTGAGGTGAGTGGGTGTGGAATACGGGGCCCTGATAAAATTGACAGTTATGTAGGATCTCAGGGTCAAGGTTGGGCGGGCTAGTGTGGGAGTGGCAATATCAAACTCCTTTGTTCCAGGTGTACGTAGTGTTTGTGTTATGTAGAATTTGTATTTATCCATTAATTGTTTAATTGTTCGTCCCCAAGGCTATTGGTGTATGGGATGGAACCAACCCCTGAACATGGCTCCTGAGCTAGCGGCCACAACACCATAGTGCCGAAGCAGGTGGCACGTAACAAACATTAACATTAACAGAAGAACAAAACAATGTCATTCTCTTTCGTCGCTCTCTGTCATTTATAACGGTCAACTGTGTTTGAAAGACACATGTAAACACTGGACAACGTAGCCTACGTAACGTAAACGTACGGATGATGTTAATGAAGCCGCATTCGCAAAGGTAGACAAAAAATGGATTAAATTATGGAAATAAATATGGAAAACATATGCAAACCGATTTCATTGGTATCAGAATACAATTTCGGGGAAAAAAGTTATAAATAATAGTAAATTATAGTGATAGTAATAACAATAAATATAAATATAATAATAATAATAAAAATAATAATAGTAATAATAATAATAATAATAATAATAATAATAATAATAATAATAATAATAATAATAATAATAATAATAATAATAACATTAATAATAATAATAATAATAATAATAATAATAATAATAATAATAATAATAATAATAATAATAATAATAATAATAACATTAACAGGAGAACAAAAGAATTTAATTCTCTTTCGAGCTGTTTTTGAAAATCGTATGTAAATAATGGACGTCGTAACCTACGTAACGTAAACGTACCAATGATTTTGATCAGCCGCATCCGCAAAACGAAGTAAAAAAATGGATTCAATTATGGAAATAAAAATGGAAAACATATGTAAACCGATACCACTGGTATCAGAACACGTTTTCGAGAAAAATACTCATGAATAATAATGGTAATAATAACATCAATAACAATAAAAAATATAATTATAACCCTTGACATACTTTGAAGATTTGCTTCTGTTCCAAAATCAGAGACCTGATGTAATAACAAAAGTCTTCCTCCATTCATATCCAAATAAAGTGTTTTGTTATTTCTTCATTTGCTTTAGTTTTAACACTTCTTTAATTCATTCATCTTTTGGAAAATAAAAAAAAACACACTCTCATTTCCGTACAAACCCAACTACATACTTCGTGGTTTTGCACTCATTCAATAAGCTGGTCTCTTTCGAGTTGGAATTTCTTGGAGTCTTATCTACAAATTTCACAAACTAAATACGTACTTTAGTCTTAATTCATATCAACAATTTCATAATAAATAATATACAAACACATACACAGAAGTTCTTGGATTTATCGTAACGTTTATGCCAGTTTCAACATTAGACATTTGTGCGCCCACAAGGGAAACAGTGAAAGTGAAAGTTGTAGACAACGAAGTGTTAAACACCCTATGTTATCATTTTCTTGAAAATCCCTAATTGTTTTTAGAATTCTTTGATAATCCATTGCGGAATCAAGAAGGTACAGTCATGCAAACATATTGCCAAAATATATACCGGGTGAGATGAAACAACTGCAACCAACTTCAGAGTGCTGTCATTTCTAAGCCACTCGGATGACAGCTGTTAAAATTATTCCAGTGATAGCTCATTATATTGTTTACAAGCGAACAAATGCATTTTGGTGAGAATTTTTCCAGAAAAAATTTATCCGCGATGGAATTCAAGCGTGATAGTGTGATTTCTTTATATTTGGCTGGAAAACCACAAGTGGCTATTGTTAGAGCACTCCAACATTTAAATGTGAATAAATATTTTGGGTCTCGTACCATCGCCCGTTACCGTGATACAGGTAGCGTAGCCCGACGACGTCAAGGAAGTGAACGGAAGAAAATAGCAATATCAGCAGAAATGGTTCGAAAAGTAAAGAAGCGACTTGTTCCAAACCCGCGTCGCTGTGGCTGAAAAATGGCTCGAGAGCTGAACATATCGCAATCTTTCATTCGGCAAATATTGAAAAATGAGCTCGGGGTAAAGTCATTGAAATTCCAAAAGGTACAAGAACTTACACCGCAAGCGAAAAAAAAAATAGTCTCAAAAGAGCTAAAGAGTTTCTTCGCTTGGCCGAAAGTGGTGAACTGCCGAATTTGGTTTTCTCCGTCTCCGATAAGAAAACATTCGTTGTCCAGCAGTTTGTAAAGAAACAAAAATGATCGTGTTTACTTGCCAAAGAGGTCAGCTGAAAATGTGCACCTTCGGTTTGCCCGCTACCAGAACTCAAGCGCCGGCCATTTTGATGGTGTGGGCCGCCGTAACAGACGATGGTCGCTCTCCGCTCATATTAATCAACCGTGGAATCAGAATAATGGCGGATATTATCGCGAAAATATTCTGGAGGATGTATTTAAGCCTTGGGCATGCAAACCTTTTTGGCAGCAGACCTTGGACATTCCTCAGCACGCGTCACCCAAGAATGTTTACTAAATGAGGTTCATCGCTTCATTTCCAGCGTTCAATGGCCACCAAAATCTCCGGATACCAATCCGCTGGACTATTGTGTCTGGAGTATTTTTTTGGAAAGCAAGGTTGGCACTAAAAAATACAAATAAGTTGATCACCTCAAGCAAGCGCTTCGCCGGGAAGGGGCCAAAATACCGCAGAACAACATTCGGGCTAAGTGTGACGGTTTCATTGGCCGTTTGAAGGTCATAATTCGTGCCAAAGGTGACCAATTCGAACAAATCTTAACTTATTGTAAAATTTGATGCTATTTCCGACATTTGTTTGCTTACATTCAATGAGATTTAAAAAAAGTAGAAATTATGGCGTTTGCAGTTTTTTATCTCACCCTGTACATAAAACGCCTTTTTTGACAGGCTTAAAGGTGAGAATACATAAAAGGCTTTCTTGAATGGCTTAAATCATCGTCTGGCTTTTTCGGAAAAGAACAAAGGAACGAAGGACCAAAATCGAACTAAGTCAACCTAAAGCACCATTGTTCCTCTACGAAGAAGCCAGCCAATGACTTAAGCCAGTCAGAGAAGCCTTTTATGTACTCTCACCTTAAGTCAGCGGTTGGATTCTTCCGAAAAGAACATAGGCCCATGGCAGAAGAATACAGGTAGATGCATCAACGCTTGGGAGCATTGATATGTCAAAAAAAAAATTAAATGTTTTTTTTTTCAAATATAAGTAGATTTTTATATGTTTTCTTATAATACGTCATTCGGGGGCTATTATAATTCGCGTTTTTTCAAAAAATTTTACAAATTTAAATAATTTTTCATTCAACATTTTCAATTCCAAAATTGGTTTGGCAGTTCATTGTCCCAGCAGCTGTGTCGACGCGTCTACCTATATTCTTCTACCATACATAGGCCTAAGGCCAAAATCAAACTAAGTCACCCTAAAACTCCTTTTTTCAAAGAAGACAGCCAATGACTTCAGCTGTGTCGATGCGGTTACCTGTTTTCTTCTACTTCGCCTATAAACAAACGCAGACCATTATTCGATCTATAGACACCTATTGATGACTTATCTTATCTATAGAAACCACGCGGACGTTTTAACTCGTCCAATGAGTCCACGCTGACCCTTAAAAAGGATTGTACCATGGTAAAATTAAGAACGTAAAGTCAGCATATCCATCTCTGCATTTTCTGTAATTTACCTTGTCAAATTTCACTGCAAAAAAAATAGTTTCCCATCTCTGATTTCTGTGATTTATTAATATATGTTTTGACAATGAAATGTCAAATAAATAATTTTGAAAAAAATTATAAACATGAGATTACCTTCTTGATTCTACCATGGATTGATACAAATCACACTGATCTTTTATCCCGCCTAAAAAGACAACGCTGATTCTTTAGCTCGTTTTAGGGCTCCACTGACAATTCAGACTTGTCTATACACCCTGATCTGCCAGCTGTGTCTTAACACTTCCTGGCCTCAGATTTTCATGTACCGTGCCTTTATATTCGGTTTATTTCATTTCGTATAAAATGGCTAGTTTCTAGTTTACACCTTATCAGTTTCATTCACAACTCAATATTACTATTCCGTATGGTCCAAGCATAAGTGACGATATTTCGCAAAACTATTGTAACTGTATTGGTTTTTCATTTCAACAGCAAAGAAATGGAAGAAAAAGAAGAGATTGTGATATTTAAAAATATAACAAACCGCAAAAACTGCTGCGGATGTTGGTGATTCTGGGTATTCTAAGCGATCGTTCAGTTACTATTCGAACAGCACAATGAAAGCAAGCGCTTGTCTGGCCTACCTTATCCTTAACGCTTTACTGTGGCATGGAGCCGTGGCGGAGGAAGAAGATTCGGAAACGAATGTTTACAAAACCGGAACTTATA